CAGGTCCACCCTGTACAGCCTGGAGGCGGGCTCTCTCACCATGAGCCCGAAGAGAGAGTTTCCTACAACGCCTCACGTCAAACTCGGCAGCTCCTTCACCAAGGTACAAAAAAATCTGGTTTTTTTTATTTTTTTATTTTGTTTCTTGAAAAGAATATTGAAACACGTGCACATGATGAACAGGTTCAGGAGTACCTGATGCGATTCGAGAGCATTCCTGACATGTTAGAGCTGGACCACCTGACCGTGTCTGGAGATGTCACGTTTGGGAAAAACGTTTCACTCAAGGTAAACCACGTCTGACCACTCCTACAGTACCAGCTTCAACAACAGAGTTGATTTAAGGAAAATAATCCAACATAATCTGGTGTGTCAAAATGAGGTTTTTTTTAATTTTTTATTTCCGATTACAATAATCCCACCCTCACTCCCACCTGTGCCTGTCTTTACTTTGCTATCATGTATGATCCAAAAGCTACCAATAGCTGCTCATTTAGCACAGCGCTACCTGAACTGCAGTTACACGATGTAAACCAGGGGTGTCAAACATAAGGCCCGTGGGCCCGCTAGAGGGTTCAATGTGGCCTGCTTGATGAATTCTGAAAGGGAAAAAAATACACTTTTTTTTCCAAGTGATATTAAATTAAATAAGATTATTCTCTAATATACCTGAACTTATAACTAAAACCATAGACTTACTGTTAGTTATAGTTAATTATGTTGTGATTGAACAGTTCTGTCCCACTTGACATCTGACCTGGTCGTATGTGACTCCTGAAACAAAAAGGGTTCGACGGCCCTGATGTAAACAGTTAGAGGTAATGTGACCCCTGAAAGGGTTCGACACCCCTGATGTAAACAGTTAGAGGTATTAGAAACGTGTTGTCATCTATAACAGTCCACTAGGGGGAGACAGTCAGTGAGGCTGTACAACTTTGGTTAGTTCACATATGAACATCATCAAGTCATGTTGAGGTAACAAAGTTGACTACCAACCCAGGTCCGTTCTTGACTCTTGACATGTTCTTCTTCTGGACCTGACTCTGGATCAGTCCAGGGTCCAGTGTCCTGCCAGTTTTGACCAGCTAGGATTGGATACAGTCGCACTTTTGAACATCACGATCATCTTTGTCCTCTTCTTCTTCTTCTTCTTCGTCCTCACAGGGCACCGTCATCATCATCGCCAACCATGGAGACCGCATCGACATTCCCGCCGGCTCCATGTTGGAGAACAAGATAGTGTCCGGCAACCTGCGCATTCTCCTCTACTGAGGCCTTTCTGCCCCCCCTGCCTCCCCTCACACCAATCATTATGTGATTTAGTTGGCTTTATCCCAGTCATGTGACCTTGTTTGTTTGCCTGACATCATCTGATTGTGAGATGTGTGTGTGTGTGCGTGCATGTGTGTGAGTGTGCATGTGTGTGGGCATCTGTATGTTTGTGTCATCATACAGAGGTAGTTTACAGGGTTGTTGGGAGTACATTACTGCCCCCTACAGGCTCTTTAATAATTCCATGTGTTTGTGTGTCATATAATGATATGAATGAGAGGATCCTTGGTATTGCCTTCCATCATGACCTACGATCGTGACGTAATTAACTCCAAAAAATTCAGATGTTTTTTGCCTATTTTCTAATCAAATGAAGGGGAAAAAAAGTAAAAAATATTTTAATGAACACAGGCTGCAGCAGCAGTTCAATTATGGTTCCTCCAGCTGCAACACTTCACCCTGGGGAACATGGTTCTTCAGAGCAGCAGAGAACGTAGAACCTGAGGAAACAAAGCCCCGGAACCGAGCTGAGCACCGTGGATTTACCACAACACGGTACCAGGATCGGTTCCTGCCCAGTTCATAATCTTGATTTGGCTGCGTGTCCTTCAGATCAGCTTTTATGAATCAGTACAGTTTTATTGGTGATAACGAACGACATCAAAGAAGGTCAACAACAGCATCAAAGACCTATCACTTTTTCTGCTAAACAATCTAGGGTTTGAGGCCCTGATCTGCACCAAAAGACTTGAAATGATGTCCCAAAGTAAAAACATCAACATTTTTCTTCTTCTTCTTTTTCTAATGGGAAAGTTGGCTCTGGGTGTCGGTTGTACTTGTATTAAACCCCAACACGCCTGCAGCACTTGACCGGACCCACATATAGAGGGCGCCCGTTTTTCATGTACAGTCTGACGGTTAGACTCAAGATGCATCTGTGGAACCATGTAGAAAAAAAACCAAACAAACCCTGGAGTGAAGTGTGTGCTGGAGGGTGAACTGTAACGTACTTTTCCTGAAACGGTAATATTACTGTAACTTGAACATCCAATGGTAGACACCGGAGAAATCACATGGACCTGGTACATGGTGATAACCGGTGGCTTTGTTGACAAATTTGGCGGGACTGTGAATAGGAGCTGACAACTGACGGTCTGTCTGTTCTGCCCTGACGTTTGAATATTGTCATAGTTTAAGTAAGAGTTTAAATGTACAGCCTCACTGTATGGGAGATTATAAAATATAAATAATAATAATAATATTTTGTTTACTTAAGTACGTTTGCTTCATGTTCTTTTAAAAAAAAATCACGTGCCTCCGCTGCGGTGTCAGACCACGCCTCTTCCTGTTCCTGTTTCAGTTCCACCCCGTCTTTCGTCCCCCTTCACCTTCTTAAAAAAACCACGATGAAGTGAAGTGTGAGAATACTTGACAAGGGTCCAAGAGACACGCGTGGACCAGGAACCTGAAAGCAATAAGTGTTGATCTGTGACAGTTGACCAGGTTTCCGCCGCCACAGGGCGAAAATAAAGTGCAATATGAAATCCTGATCGAGCGACGCGTCTCGTGTCTGTTTGTGCCGCTAAATTATTATAATTATAGTAATTATTGTTATTTGTAGTAGCATTCGAGCTAGTTTTTTTTTTCTTTAGCTTATTCGATCTTGCCGAATATTTACAGAATGTTGTACTTACTGGTTCTTAAGGTTGCTGCAATGTGAAAGGGCTCACCACTAGATGTCAGCATTTCCACCCAGCTAACACCTATTATCGACGATATTCAAGATCAAGAAATATAGATATTTATCCAGCTAACACCTATTATCGACGATATTTACAACGATAGTAGCAGTAATCGTTAGTTCCAAGTTCTTCTGGAGCCGAAAACAAAACATTTTAACACTTTTTAATAATGAGACTTTTAATGGTTGTTGCCATGGCAACGGGCGAGTGTAAACAGCGGCGCCAGTATTTGATGACAAACACATTACGGGCCCTGTGGCGTCTGTGGAGTTATTTCACTGGCTTCACGTCACACTGGGATCTCATTATTACCCACGGAGCTCAGCGCTGTCAGGGTGTAAATGAAGTGGTTCGTGTCTCTGTGCTGAAACACCAGGCTCAGAAAACAGATCATTAGAGGAAGAGAGGGAATTTAACCGAGTTCTTTCTCTCCATCGAGTTGACAAAATGTTCCAGGTTAATCCATTAATTGATGGATGTGATTGATCAGGTTCATTTTCAACACGAAATAAATCTTTAGCTCGTGAATTGTCTCGTGTACATATTTTATAGTACAGTACTGATTTTAAGTCACTTTCTGGTTTGCTGTACCTTTAAGAGACTGAACGATATCGCTGTATAAATGCAGCTCTTTGTCCATTCACTTCTGTCAAGTTTGCTTTGCTAAAACCACATTTTAATCATCTCCAAAAAAAATATAAAAAAATGTTTGTGGCGTCTTGTAAATTCCTGTCACAGAACTCACAGGAAACCAAATGCACATGGGGGGAAAAACACGAAGAGAGAAGCTGCCAGGGCATCGCGTTGTTCTGACAAAGGAATTCTCTGATCAGTGATGAGGTTTAGTGGTATCAGTGGATTTTTGAAAATCCTGAGGCTAAGACTGGAGGAAAATGTTCCATGGGAACTCGGGATCTGTGGAATTTTGGCCAAATAAATTGAGGTTTGTTAGTGTGTGCGTGTGTCACTTCTTCTGTAGGTCTGAATGATCAGTGAGTCATCAGGTGGGGGTCGGTGCTGCTTTGTGCAAAAACACTCGTAAAGCATCAGGGATAATAGACTCTTGATGAGGCAATTTAATGACACACACACACCGACACAGACATGTTGTCAAATCAAATCACAATTTACCCCATCTAGATTAATCTAATCTAATCTAATCTAATCTAATTTAATCTAATTTAATACCAGGGACAGCTGTGTTAATCGGTGCATTATAATAACCACCAGGATATCAAATTATAAAAGGTAATTCTTTTTATTTGTGACTTTGGAAAACACGTCAAAACTGTTTAGTAAAGTGGTTCTCCCTATATTGACCACTAGATGTCAGTATAATTCCGTCCTTGGTCTGGAGGGGCTTGCCGTAATGTTACACGAATGTTTCTACTGCAAAGACAAATAATAATAATAATAATAATAATAATAATAATAATAATAATAATAATAATAATAATAATAATAATAATAATAATAATAATAATAATAATAATAATAATAA